TTGTTGTTGTTGCTTGTTGCTTGTTATTTAAACGTTTTCAAATCGCGCAGCGAATGAAAACGAAAGAAAAAATGAAATACATCGAAAGTGAGCATATGTATATGTATATATGTGTGTGTGTGTGTGTATGTTAGTATGTACATAACGCAGAGCCCACAAAACGATGCCCGACGCGATGTTGTCGACGTATCAGCGAAGCGCGCCTCAGTCACTTTGCATGGGTGGCGCATGCAAAGGGGGGCAGGGTATGTCGGGGAGAGGGTAGAAACAGACAGAGAGCAATGAGTTGGAATTGAAATGCGCGAACTTGTCGCGGTCTCGAAGCGAGTGCGAGTCTGATTGCCCACAATCAAGCATTAATATATCACACACAAACAAACACACATACATATACATCCACGCACACTTAAGCAATCATCATATGCCAAAACATTGCGATGTTGTCGTCTCAGTTACATTACAGTCAGTCTGCTGTCAGAGCCCCCCTCAAGCTATTTTTAACAGAATCTATGATGTTGTTACTGTTGTTATGTATGTGTGTGTGCAATGCATATAAATGTAAATTGAGTGTTTTACAGCACAAACAATTAACAGAAGGTGCTTAACACTGAAAATGGAGATTATGTTAAGAATATGTTATTGAAAGTGGCAAAAATCTAGTTAGCTACATTTTCTTATTTTCAGTTTTAAACATATATAATATATATACACTTGTTAGTGCTTGTTTTTTTTTGTAGCGTTGTCGTTTGCTTTATGTTATTGTTCTTAGCTCGTGCGCTTTTACAGTTTAATTTATATATTTATTTATGTACAGCCGGTGTCTGTTACCGTGTGTGTGTATGTGTGTGTGCTCTCCTATACATAAGCAACAAAACATTCTACAATTGGCTCATTTGGCGGTCGCTGTCAGAGCTGGCCACACACACACACACTCTCAAAGAGAATATTTGTTGTTGTTGTTGTCGTCGTCGTCGTGTTGTCGTCGTTCGTTTCTAATTATACGATAGGTGCGCTACGAGCCATGAAACGTGCGGGGTTTGACCTTCTCTAAAAACGTTTAGGAGCTGCCCAACTCTTTGAGCCTCACTCTGAGCGTTTCACTGTGTGTGAGTGTGAGTTTAAGCCCGAGTTTGAGCCGCTGTGTGTGTGCGTGTGTGTGTGTGTGTGTGTGAATTGCAGTCTTGCATTTTGCCTCTTAGGCATGGCGTCTTAAAATAGGTTTTTCGGAGCAGATTATTAAATATTAGTTGCTTCTGAGGCAGCAGCTGTTATTAACCTCAGCATTGAGTTCATCCTTATACACTAAGAAAATAATACTGTTCCACATTTTTGATTCGAATTTCCAGCAAAACTCTTCTTTTATTTTAATAAATATAAATCCTGATTCTAATTAAAATCAGAAATGCTCTTGACTCAAGTAGCAAATACCCATCACAAAAATGACCACATTTCAAATTTGTAAATAGTTTAAAGATTTCAACTCTATTTCAGTATTAAACTCTGGCTTGTTTTTTTCTGAGTGTACTCCTAATTATTGCTATTAGGCAAAATACTTTTAAGCGCTGATCAAGCTTTTCATATTCTTGGGCGTGTTCAATGTATTAACTTGGCTAATATAGCCATGGATTTGTCATTGAGCACACTCTTCCCACTCTTTCACAGTGGCCAACACTCTAATGCTGTGATATTAAGTGTAATCTACTATTAAATTAATACACTAACAATCGATTTGATCTTATTTAATTGCAAGTTGGAAGCAACTAGTTTATTGCCACGTTAAAGTGTGGGCAGTTTGTCTGGGCAACATTATTGATAGATTTGAATGATTTCCATAATTTAGATATTTATTAGCTGGACAGGTTGTTGTTCAGCTGGAATAAATAACCAAAATTATAAAGATTTTTTGCCAACCCCAAATGTTATCGAAGAAATCAGTCTATGGAGCTGAAAATAGTTTTAATGCTTTAAGCCTTGTTATTGGCATGAATCTTTCAATGAAATTAACTCAAGCTCTTTGGACATCTGCCAGATCTGTTGATCTGCCCTCGACTGGAGTTTATTTCTGTTTGTTTTCTTCACTACTTTTTTTTTATACAATAATAATTTTTATCTATTATTGTAGATATTTCGAGTAACCAAAAACAGGTAATCTGATATACTATTTGTCTAACATGGTTGGCATTAAGCTCTCGCAACATTTCCGCATTTGAAATGATTTTTAATTATTATTATTTTTCAAGACGCCCACACATCGAAGACTACATCCAACATCCAACATCCAAGTGGATGTGCTCTTTCTTTGCTCACAGCTCAAATGTCAGGCTTATTTTCAGCCACACAGCCTTATCAAGTGGATTTCGAATCTCTGTCTGTCTATTTCTATGTGTGTGCTTGTGTGTGTGTGTGTGTGTGTGTTGTGTTTGTTCATCTTTATGTGGGTGCTTAAGCTCCATTGATGACACGTCACTTCTCGGCATAGACATCTTCGTCAAAAGTGTTAAGACGAGTGAGAAAACCGAAACTGAAACCAAACTTAAACTAAACACGAAGTGCTTTAGGCTTAGAGAGTGCTCGACTGGGAGATGCCCTGTAATCACATTTTGATATGCATATATAGAAATATCCAAAGACCAGAGCCTCATCTGCTTTCCTATGATGAACTTCAGTTATGTGTAAAAAAACAACGTCAGCATTAAAATTTATTTTATCTTTTGACCTTTCATTCAAATTGATTTTATATATCTAGCTTATTTTATATTTTTGGTATATAAATTAAATTTATACGAAAAATATCTAGTTTACAGGAGATATACTCCTTCAAAGACATATTTAGTTGTAATCAAAAAATAATAATATTGATAATTTTGAAGCCACTAGTTCTACTTACAAAGGCTGAAGGGATGAATTTCAAAAGGGGGAGATTTGTAATTTTTTATAATTTATAGCCTAAACTAAATGGCGTCTGCTTGCTCCTACTCAATCCTGGCTACGCTCATGCTAATTACCTGTGTGATATTCCCAAGAAACACGCAAACTTATTGCTACGTTTTTTCAAAGGCTACAGGGTATGAGCAGGTCTCCCTCGTCTAACGAAAACAACAAAAAGTGTCAATAAAATGTCATGGAAAGCCACTTAGCCCAACGTGTGTGTGTGTGTGTGTGTGTCTGTGTGAGTGTGTGTGTATGAGCGTGTGTGTGTGGATCTATACTCGCAGAGTTGGAGCCTCACCCAAGACCCGCAAGCACTTTAAACTTTGGCCACATGCGTTGGAGGGGTGTTGGAGCGCTGCTTGAGGGGTGGTTCCCGCACACCGCCCCACCCTGCCACCCGCCTGCCCACAATATCTGTGACTATTTGTCAAAATATTAGCGTCTATGGCTTTGGTATTTCGCCAGTTTTGTTGTGGTTCTCTGTTTCTATGTTGTGGTTACTTTTTTTTTTTTTTTTTTGTTGTTGTTTTTTGCACAATTATTGCTTTGATTTAAATCAGTCTAGTGACCCAAAAGTTCAGGCTACGGAAATTGCAAATTTAATAATTGAGTAGACGCGAAGTGAAGTAAACTAAAGTCGAAGTCAAGTAAAATCACGTCGAGTAAAGTAAACCAAACCAAGGGGGCTTATTAATGCGATAACCTTGGCTGATTTAATTTCTTGTTCGCGAGCTGTGTGATTATCCCAACATCAGCAACAATAACAACAACAACAATAACAACAACAACAGCTGTAACAACATTAATAACAATAACAACAATAATAAATACAGCAGCAGCAGGAAAAATCAAAAAACTTGCACAATTTCGACACTAAACGACGATCTTTGAGTTGTTGTTTTTTTTTTTTTTTTTTTTTTTGTTGCTGCCACTTTTTGTGGGTTAGTCGCTTGTTTTAGGCTTGTAGTTGTTGTTGTTATTGTTGCAGTTCAGTCTTGGCTCTGACTGCCAGTTAGCGGCATATTTAATTAAGAGATTGAGGCACAAATAGTGTTGAACAATGGTACAAGCTGTTGGCAGCACGAGTCAGCTGCACTCAACTACACTGCAAGAAACCCAGATATGCCCTTGAATTTGGCATACATTGCACTTTTAGCAAGTGCATTGCAAAAAGCGTTTAGCTCACTTTTTTTTTAAAAGCCATAATTACTCCAAATTACAAGCTGCATTTTTTATAACTTTTAATTTCAGTATTTAAAAAGTTGTTGAAATCTTTTTTGGTGGGTCAAAGATCGATGTAAATTTTAAAACTTTTTTTTTAACGTTTACAAATCGTTTTTTGCTGCGAATATTTATTACACTTATCTTTAGGTTGTCTGCACTCCTTAAATTCCATTTGCCGCAATTCTCTGGCAACTAGCAACCAGAAGAAGTTGTTGTTCTTCATATGGATTTTCCTACTCCATCCAATCATTGACTTAGCTCCTAGCTGATGCCTTTGATGGCGATCTCTATTAGAAATGAGGCAAGATCACAATCTTAACTGGAAGTTGGACTTGAGTTCATTTCTTGGAACTGGAAGTGGACTTTGTATTCGGTATCCTTTGATACTGTATCATCTATCTGAGCTCACACACAGAATGTAAGGTTCGAAAGGATTTTAAGTGCAAGTCTGCGCAGCGTTATCCAACACTATACCTGTGACTGCAATGAGATACTTAAATTAGAAACAGCATTAATTTTTCGAATATTCTTTGATTATTTCAAAGAAATCGTTTAACTGAATCGATTTTCAGAAATGTGATTGTTAAATCATTATTATAAAAATTCGTATTAATAATAATAGTCAACTTTAGCCAGTTTTGCACCGTTTTCCCATCTTAAATGACTTTATTTTATGACTACATATTTCATATTTGTGCATACATTTGCATAAAAAATAGTAGTCGGGGAATTAAGTGTTATAAATAATATATGGAAGTCAATTCTCGAACAAACTAGAAACGATATATATATCACAAAATTCGTATTACGCATATATAAATACGAATAGTTCACAATCGGAGAAGATGTCGCTGACCTGTGAGCATTGCTCACGGATAGCCATCTACAGGATATCGTACAAGTTGTGGGTGCCAGATGTGAAGAGCCTGATGCCACGTGCCGCACAAAAGGCCAACGAGTTGAATGTTAGCGGCTACATGTCAATTATGCAATGTGGCAACGCGGTCAGTGGAGAGTTTGAGGGCACCCTGGAGAAGCTCAACCTGATGATGGCCTGGCTGGAGCAGGAAATACCCGAGGATTGCGATGTGCCACAGTTTGGAGCGGAGCAGCTGCAACTGAAGCCGGGCTACGATGAATTCTTCTGCTGTTGAAATTGTGATTTTGAGTTGGCTTGTTCGATTACAATTGTTGCAAGTGCCACCAAATTTGTTTCGAGTGCATTTCTTGTACCGTCGCCCCATAAACAATAACAATCTGCCGGCGAACAATATTGAACAATGGATCAGTCGAACTGCTGCTGACTCTGGCTGACTTTTCAAAGTCAAAAACGCGATTGTATCATCAGTTTTTAGTATTTTCTTGTATACCCTGTAGCCATTCGAAATGGCTGGGCAGCGTATTAGCAAGTGTATGTATTAGGTAGAAGAAGATCAGTCTTATTGATATTGAGTTATCAGACTGTCCATCCAATCTCAGAAATTATAAGAGTTCATGAACTGAAATTTGGAATATAGACTTGTGATTTCAATGCTTTTTCAATCGATAACTCCATATTTATAACTTCGATATGTATCGAATTTTAGTATCTATAAGCAAGAGGTGGTATATGTATATATATTTGTTGTCAGACGCTCTCTCAAACTGAAAGTTTTTACGAGCTGAAATTTTGAATGTAGACTGGTGAGTTGTTTACCTTTTCTGTCGATAACTTGCCAATATATAATATATCGATAAGTATCGATGAGAGAATTAACTGATTTGGGATAGGAAGTGAACTTCCTCTAAAAACTCCTATTCTCAGAGGTAATTTAAAAGCGATTAATCGGCAAACAGCAAAGTTTCCTTAGAGATTAGAGCAGATGCACAGCTTTTTATGTGCATGGCAGTGAATACAGGGTATTTCGTAGTCGCTGCAATGTTCAACTAGAGCCATCTAACTTGTGTCTTTCAGCTTGTTGGGGACGCGGGTGGTTGACTGTGACTGTGATTTCTGTTTGGCCAAAGTTTGCAGATAAAATAGTCGCGCTGCCAAACAATGAGGCACAAAAAATAAGAAAAAAAAAAGAATAGCTGCTGCTGCTGCGGCTGCTGCTGTCGTCTCGAAACAATCGAATCAATTCATTTTTCTAGGGCGTACTGTGCCACTTGAACGTTGAACTGCAGACGCCCCAATGCTGACTACTGTGAAGGCGACCGACCGACCCACCGACAGACAGACAGACAGACAGACCGATCTTAACTCAACTCAACTCCCCAAAACCGTTGCCATTGTTATTGTTATTGTTATTGTTGTTGTGAGGCAGCAGCAGCAGCGGCAGCAGCAGCACTTGGTCTTGATCGTGCCACAGCACTAGTCATTTTTATTATTTTCAATGATTTTTTGTTTTTGTATTTTGATGGCGCTACTTTGTGAATTTCGCAACACTCACCCTCGGAAAACTCAAGCTGTGTGTGTTGCCTGATTTATGTGCTTTATTTCGAATGGGAGCAAAAGCGTTCTTAAGCGGCAGGCAGCGGCAGGCAGCAGGCAGCAGCCAGCAGATATCAACAGGATTACGACGTAACATTTAACTGGCAATGGCAATTCAATTAGACCTAAATGCTGTCAACAGCCGGGCCAGGCTAACAATAACAGCTGTGAAATAGACAGCCAACAAGAGCCAACGTATCGCTTGGTCTCTTGTTGTTGTTGTTGTTGTTGTTGTTGCTGTCTCGCGTGTTGCATAATATTTTATGCATGCAGAGCGCCGCTTGCATACTATATTGGTTGCAACATGCTTGCTGCCGCCACTGCCGCCACTGCTGCTGCTGCTGCTGATGATGATGATGATGCATAGCCTCCAGAATTGCCAGCCCCTCCCTGAAAATACAACAAAAAAAATCAGACAGACAGACAGTCCTGGCAATGACGACGACGACGCCACAAGGCGTCCAGCTGTGAGCGCACTCGTATCGCATCGTCTCGTCTCGTCTCGTCTCTCGTCTCGCGTCGCGTCTCTTCGTCTCTTCGTCGACTGTCGGCTTGGCTCGGCTCGGCTCGGCTCTCGCTAAGTGTGTCGAATATTCAAGTGAAAATTTATCGCAGTCACTCAGCAAGCGCGCAGAGTGCGCGAGTGCGGCGCTTGTCTCCACTATTGACATTGTGTTGGTGTCATGTCACATGTATATGAGGCTGCTGCAGCTGTATGTGTGTGTGTGTGTGTGTGTTGTGCACTCGAACTCATACCGACTCACAACTCACGCTGCCAAATGTAAATTGTGTGATTTTGCATGTGGTGATTTTTATTTTTATTTTTTTCTTCTTCTGTTTTTCTAGGTGGGTTGCTCGCTGCTTGTGCTGCCTTTCGACTGGTATTCCACTCGTATTTGATTAGAGACTTGGCTGCTGCTGAGCCAAAAACTTGTCGTTACAGTTGTTCTCATTGCTGTTGTTGTTGTTGTGGCTCTTTAAGTCGAACAATTACATTTTAAGCGTAGCACAACCTTGGATACCGTTATATTTCTTGCAGTTGTTGGGCGTGTGTGCACGTTGTTGTCTAGTGGGCAACAAAACAACACAGCAAACATATTTCACTTCAAGTACCTCAAGAACAACGAACGCCTATCAAACTGTAGAGGCAATATTTCATATGACTCATAAAAATAAAAATAAAAATACCTAAAACTTGATATTTTAGTATAATATAATATAAATATAATTTTAATTACTTTAAAAACGTAAATTGGAATCTGCAGTTTTCTAGCTAAATTTCAATAGTACAAAAGCTTTTGGCTTGAATGATTTCAGCTGGAAAAAGCTGAAGAGTTAATATTTATTTTATTACTTATATGTTGCTCAAGATTTCGTCAATAATATTTGATATTTAAAGGGTTGGCTGCATTAATTCTGTACGGAAGTCGATCAGTTCTAAGTGGTGTGGAAAATGTTCATTGGGTTTGATGGCAAAGCGCACCGCTGGGCTAAACACGATTCAGCAATCTGCGAAACGTCTCGTTGCCTTCGACGTCTTTGGCAACCGTCGAAACAGATCGGCCAGGCAGACCCAGCCACTAAAGCAACAGTCAAGCCAGGCAGGCAGGCAGGCAGGCAGACAGACAGTCGATAGACATTCAGACAGTCGGCTAGTCGAATAGTCAAAGAGTCAGACGGGGCCGAGTTAAAAGCGAGTCGACCACACCCGCACACTTCATTATTTTTATGTCGCCTGTGGTGGTACGATTTAAACGACAACAACGACGACGACGACGACGACGATGGCTGGGCAACAATCAGAAGGCAACAGGCATTGGGGAATGGGTTCGAGACCGAAGACCGTGGCACGACATTCACTGGTGGCGGCGGCGTCTGAGCCGTTACAGAGAAGCCCAAAAGCAAACTTAAGAAATTAGACGCATTCGACGTTTTGGAGCGAGCGACAAGTCAAAGAGTAGCCACAGATCCAGACTTAGACTCAGATTTAGACTATGACTCTGCCTCTGACTCTGCCTCTGACTCTGTGTCTGGCACGGGCTCTAGCTCTACACTGAACAAAATATCATATAAAATGTTTATGAGTAAATCAGCAATGTCTTTATTTTAAATATAATTTGCTTTAGAGATTTGAATATAAAATTTCCAAATCATATTTAAATTTAAATACTTCGAAAGTCTACAAAATTGGTAAGTACTGTAAAAATGTATTTATTTTGTAATTTACTAAAAAATTATTTAAGAATTTTTCTTTATATTTTTTTTTCATAATTATTATGAATTATTATTAAATAATTCTTTAAGAAACATAGCTTAGAAATATTTATAGATGGACTTTAAATACATTTATATTTCTTAAAAGTGTTTCATAAAAATATACAATAATTTTGATGGGTAAAAATATGTTTTTTTTTTTTTAATATTTGATATTATTTAGCAAAAATTAAACACAAAAATCTTATTGCAATTTCAATTGATTTTCAGTTGTTTAAGTGCAGCTCCAGCTTTGGCTTTGCAAATTGGGTATTGGGGCACGGGTTTGGGCCGCGTTGCACATCTCATGTTGATGCTACAATTGCCGGTTGTACGTTTGGTTTCATTTGGGTTTTTGGGGATCGTGCGCCAGCGCAAATGTGCCTAGTGGGGTTTGAAAATTTGTAGCGCCCGACAGGAAAAAAAAGAAGAGAAAAATAAGAAGGCAGCTGCAACTGCAACTGCAACAAAAACAACAATTATCTACAATTACAACAACGGCAGTCAGCCAAAAAGTCGTTACTGCGGCTGTCCAAAGAGCTGTTGTTGTTAGACTATATACATATATATATAGCATATATATATATATATATATTTATATATATATATATATATATATATTATAGTACGCCTTCTAATGCGCTCGCTGCTCTCCGGCAGACTTCAATGTAATTTATCTTGATGTTTAAATCAATAATACGTATAACGCCATCCATCCAAAGCTGCTTTTTTTTTTTGTTGCAACACACATACAAAGACACATTGATATTTATATAATTTAATAGCTGTTGTCAGTGTTGCTGCTGTTGCTGTTGTTGTTGTTAACTATTATTGAAAATTTCAATATGCTGCCTGCTTGCGGAGTTTATTAAGGCACGAACAGCATTTTGACGACGAGTATGCTTTCATAATTATTGCTATAGGCTTGTGATCTGGTTTCGTTCTGTTTGCTGTTAGCTGTTAGCTGTATCTGTATCTGCATTTGTGTATCTACATGCATCGGTGTATCTGTGGCATGTCGACGTCGTCGACGTCGCGATTCTGGGCTCTGGCGTCTACGCCTATTCGTCTGCCATTACGATAGTTTTTTATTAGGAGGGGGATTTGTGGGGGGGTGGGCGTTGTGCCTTAGATATGGTTCTATTGTTCGAAGAGCTGCCGGGGTTTCTGTATTTAGTAGTGGGCGAAATTGTTTCGTAATTGTGAAATATGTTGTCATGCGCCAAAGTTATTGTCGTCGCTCGTTTAGATGCGACAAACTGTGGCACAGTTTGCTTTGTGCTCGTGGTACTTAAAGAGTTGCATTGTTAATTGAAAATCGCTGATGTAGAACAGTGCAGGAAATATGCAAATATCAACTTACAGAACTTGCTTGATGCCCTGAGGCGAGTGTACTTTTTACTCCACAAAGAAAATAAGCAATTTGTG